AATTCTTTTCGAAATATCACTTGATTGATAATAATAGTCTTTATGATAAAGATATTGATGTTGAATTGATAGTTATTATTTGTCATGATTTATCAGGTATAGATGATAGTTCCAAAGAAATAGATTACTGTTTTCATAATGGTTATTCTAATTTTAAGGACTGATATTCAGAGTTTTTAGAACATATTTATTTTAAATAAGAATTTTCAACTCATATTAGTAAATTGTTGATGTTGTACTATCATCACTTGATGGTGAGTCATATTTAGAGTTCTTTTTCAATGGGTCAACGATAAAAGTTTTGCTCGGAAATAATTCGAAACGGTTTCTGTATCAATTTTTGATGAAATGATGAATTAACCATCGTCGAATAAATATTCGTTTTTGGTTCTTACTCACATTGATATATCATTATTGTAAATTTAGCTTATCTAGTTTTGTCTCTATATATTACATTACACATTGTAATATAACTATATATCTCTTAGGTTCTGCTCAGAGATATTTCTAAAGTAAAATCAATATGTAAATAAATCTTCAAATGATGAAAAATTAATGTTGCATTTTCGTAGGATATTGGAGATAGTTTTTCAATGTGAACAATTTCGTGTATCCATGTTTCGTGCACACAAATTTTATTTTCTTTCTTGTCTGACGACGATGTTACAGTTGCTGTTGTCATTGATCTTTGTATTTGTCTTTCTTGTTATCATTCGTATTTCTAGATATGCCACTAATAGAGACAATTTCCCTAATAACGACGGGAAAATTTTGTCTTATCTTGTTTCGTTTGATACTCGGCTATTTTACATCCAATCAAAAATATTTTTATATTTGGATGATCCTTGGATTCTCCTCTTTTCAATGATATATAAATTTCATTTTACTTACGTGTTACGAGCAAAATATGAGCGAAAACGTATTTTGAAAGAAAAAAAACATTTTTTTCACGTATTCTGTGAGAAATCGAGGAACGGTCTCTTAAACAATTTTATAGAGCAGATAGAACTCTACTATCATCCAGCGGTTCACGAGAAAGCAACTTTGTTTTAATGGAATGCAAAATGTAATAAGAAGATTTCCAAAAAATCGATTTAAAGAAAAATAACTTTAATAACGATGATCAGCAATTTTTTTTCCTAATAACGACGTTTAGTCATTTTTTGACTCTAACAAAGATGACAAGCTATCTTTTGATCTCAATAACCACTCATTCGTCAGAAACTCGTATAAAGGAATTTATTGATAAATTGCGTATCTATTTATAATCTTTATATGCAGTTAATGATGAATTCTATCGATGATTTTATTGATTTCATCAAAATAATATTCTTCAATAATTTATGAAAATTGCTCATTTCTTGTTAATATAGATAGATGACCCATCTGAAGCAGCTCATTTTCTAATAAATCCAACAGTTTGTTGTAAACATATAAAATAATATAAATAGTAAAAATGATTAAGATGAATAAAAAAATTAATATTACTAAAGAAAAAATTTATTAAATAAGATAATTAATGATAGTTTTTTTTTTATTCAACTTCACTTTTAAAACCTGAAGGAGGTTTTCTTGACATTAAGAAAAAACTGACCACTAGAATAGAGCATCTGAACCATTGGTATGATCATGTTATAATTTTTAAAAAAAGTATCTTTTTTCTTGTAGGAATACAGAATGTCCCTTGGGAGTGAAATTTGGTCTTAACGAGCTACATTTTTCATTATTCTCAGTTTATGAAAAAATAAACAGTTTTTTCTTTGAAATAATTTTATTTATGTTTGTTATTACTCAAAATACGAATTGAAGCAATATTTTATACTTTTTCAAAGTTTAAGCAATCTCTTTTTCAATATGACGCTAGACCCTAAGTTAATCCAAGTATGGTGTAGCCAGTATTAGTGAAGAAAAAAACGATCATCTTACGATCACACTAGTGGTTTTGATTCATCAAGAAAGTAGCTACTGAACGATTCACGATCGCACAATCACGACTATTATGAAGGACTCAAGATTGACACGAGGTCAATGTTACCACCGCCAACGAAAAAAAAAATGTGAAAGTTATCAACATTTGTCGGTGACAGGATCTAGGACTAGCCATCATTTGTTACTCTCGTGCAGTAGCCTTTAGTAGCATTGAAAATAAACGAAAACTCGTTCACATAATGTTCAACTGGTGTTAAAATTTTTTGGCCCGTTAAGACCGACTGTCGCTTTTAAGGGACATTTTGTTAATGATGTCACAGTATATCAAGAGTTCGGTAAAAACATTTTGTGACGGTTTCATCCGATAACTAGATGATACACCTCGCGATATCGCTTTAAAAAAAACAGATTTCATTCCGATGCTCATCAATAGGTAGATAAAAACTTAACGTTTGAAATACCGGAAGTCTTGAAAGATTCGTTAATTCGTGTGACAGTTACTCAGGAACGATTTTCCTCTTATTTTATGATCGATAAGGTCATCTAAGTTTAAAAAGGAAAGACAAACGAAACTGAATATAAAGATTCCCTCCATTTTTGTTTAAGTTTTCGGTATGTCCCTTGAAAGGGACATCCGGCTCTTAAAGGTTAATCATTTTTACTATTTATATTACTTTATTTATTTATAACGAACCGTTGGACTTATTAGAAAATGAACTATTTCATATGGATCTTTTATGTTAACAAGAAATGAGGAATTTTGATAAGTTATTGAAAAAAATTCTTTTGATAAAATCAATAAAATCATCGATATGGTGGCAAATCATTGATAGGCTTTTTGGTGAAAAAATTTACGCGAAAAGCACAATCAGCGAAATTTTCTTCAGCGAAAGAATTAGGACAGCGAAAGACCAAGCGGCTAAGTAAAAAATAACGAAATCTCTACTGGTAACTAAATAGAGTAGAATTTTCGTCAAATTCAGTAAACAGCGAATATAGTGCACATACACAACATTTTTAGGGAAAAGAAAGTAAAAGCAAAGAAAGTAATACAGTAAATCAAAATTTCAACCTGCTTTGTAACGTAGAAAACTACTTGAAATTTTATAGCAAGGAAAACTCACTGGTACTCATTTCAACAGCTCCAAGAGTCATGTCGGTTTGAAATATTAGGGCGAACAAGTTCTCGGTATATTTCAGGCACTTCACTCTCCTCCAGTCTGTACTCAATTTTTGATCTCCAACTTAATAGTTCAAAGTTCGATGTGTTATGATAAACTTATAGTGAAGCGACCCATTGATGTTAAGAAAGTGATCGATCATGTCCCCATGAAAAAGTCAATACTTAACTTTCGTTGTCCATGTTTAAGCCAATATGTATATTCAAAATAAAAGAGAAAAGAATTACCTTGATCCCAAATCGTAGTAGAAATCGATATGAAATCGATCATATTTCATCAGTTGAATGAAGAAAACATAGCATTTCTGTCAATGCAATAGCATCTTCTGTGGTGCAATATTTGCCTACAAGAGCAAAGATCTTTGTAGAAAGAAAAAATTCGCTGAAAAATCTGTCGATATTTTAACTTTCGCTGTTGTGTTTTTCACCATTAAGCACTTTCGCTGAAATGCACTTTTCCTGCAATGTTTTTCGATGATTGTTTTCGCTCGATGGTCAACATATCAAACCATCGATAGAAGTTATCATTAACTCCATATAAAGATTATAAATGCATACGTAATTTATCAATAAATCTCTTTATACTAGTTTCTGACGAATATGTGGTTATTGAGATCAAAAAATAGCTTGTCAGCGTTATTAGCGTCAAAAAACAGCTAACGTCATTATTAGAGTCAAAAAAATGACTGAACGTCGTTATTAGGAAAAAAAATTGCTAGCCGTCGTTATTAAAGTTATTTTTTTTAAATCAATTTTGGAAATCTTCTTATAACATTTTGCATTCCATTAAAACAAAGTTGCTTTCTCGTGAACCGCTGGATGATAGTAGAGTTCAATCCACTCTATAAAATTCTCTAAGAGACCGTGTCTCGATTTCTCATAGAAAATGGGAAAAAAATGTTTTTTTTCTTTCAAATTACTTTTTCGCTTATATTTTGCTTGAGCGTCGTTATTAGGGAATCGATACTGGATAACGACAGTCAGACCTCTTCATTGTAGACCGCTAATTTCTCCGTGATAACACGTAAGTAAAAGGAAATTTATATATCATTGAAAAGAGGAGAATCCAAGGATCATCCAAATATAAAAATATTTTTGATTGGATGTAAACTAGCCGAGTATCAAACGGAACAAGATAAGACAAAATTTTCCTGTCGTTATTAGGGAAATCGTCTCTAGCGACTTCATAAAAACATTTGCTTACATTCTATAAAGAATTCTTGTAATGCGAAAAGAAGAAACTATGCTTATAACTTGTTTTCTATTCTTGACGAAACTACTCATTAAAACTCAGTATTGTAGCTGAAAATTCACGAGAAGCTATTTATTTGTTAACAAAAAACAAAAACATCCAGAAAACACAATAAAGAACATGTACATATTATTTGAATATTAAAATTTTCTTTATGAAATAAATACTTGTAAAATTTGTCTTTAAGATGAAAAGATACAGTAAAACACACTCTACAATATGATTTTTTATTCACTTCACTAATTCATGTAGTGAGAGTTGAAATAAGAATGCAACGTAACTCTTTCGTAAAGTCTCAGAGAACAAATTCTTTGTGTAAAATTGAAGATATATCTTGTTAAGATTCTTTTCTTGAATTACAAATAAATAAACTATCTTATAAGATTTTCAAGCAAGGTCGAACTTAGTTATGGTAACTTCTTCACTTTCATTAAAAAGCCACATTTTTTTTTTATTTTTAGAAAGTTTTACCTCAACAAATTCTTTTAAACTTTCAGTAAAAAAGATAAAACATTCAATGAAAAAAAAATAAATCAAAGTATTTATAAAAATCTTCTTTTCAATTCACATATACAACATGACAGAACAATGAAAAAGAAAAGAAATTAAACAAAATAATAAGACACTACTGTCAACTGTACTTTCTTAAAGATGATTGAAACTTTCAATTATTTTGTATTATGATATGACCATTGCTTATACTATTGTGATTTCTATGATTATATAATGATGAAAAATGACTCGTATAGAAATTTGAATAATGTAATTTTGTTCTCAGTTTTTATGAATCTATGACATTTGTTTTTCATATAGTTATTTCTCAACAAATACTTTGTAGAAAATTCTGATCAACTGATAAATAAATATATTGAAATTAGATTATGTTAAGTTAATAAAGAAGTACAGTTATCGAGTCGAATTACCAAATCAGTTTTACATCCTTCTTATGACTTCATACATCTTAGTTTTCGCGTAATTATTTATGAATGATATCAATTTATTATTTAAACTTTAAATTGAAAAAAAAAGAACATGATTTTATTTGATTATTATTGTTTATGAGCACAAGCCAGAAAATTTGTTTGATTATAATAAAAGTCGATTGTTTTATCAGTACATGCTCCTCCTCCAGTTGGACCCACATGTGGACAATGTATAGATGGTAATAAAGGTACAAAATATGTATGAACAAAACGGCAAATAACATTTCCTTGATCTGCCCTATCATATGAACCATAAGGTATTTGTGTTCTTAAAAATTGTTGACAATCATTAAAATTTGAATATTGTTGTAATATTCCAGAACAGACTCTTTGTGTAACATTACATATCGTATTTATTTTTGCTTCACGTTCTACATCTGTACGTGGATCTAATGTTAATCCAATATTTCGTATTTGTCCATCATATCCACATAGTTTATAATCTTTATCAAAAGCAGCACTTATAAAAAAAGTTAATGGTTTATTACTACTTAAATGTGCTATAAATTCAAAGTGAGTGATTAAATATTTTTCATCATAAGCAATACGTACTAAATCAAATGATTGAATACCATATTCTTCTGCTGATATATTCCGTATAAATACTCAAGAGCTAAAATTGCGCTTGGAAATGTGCCAATCGGTATAACATGATCAGATAAACTTTTTGGAGATATATATTGAGATTGTATATTACTATCATTAAATAAAACTTGAGAACAAAGTGGAGGTAATAATGATGATAATGATCGATATGTGGCATTGTATAATCGTTCATAAATATTTTTTTTATTCTGTGGTAAATTAGGTCATTTTCGACATTGACAAAAATTCATAATTATGAATAGAAATAGTAATACTTGACAAAAGGATAATTTCATTTTTATTTGTCTTTATTGTAAAATTTGAAGACAGAGATCTAAAAATAAAATAAAGAAAAACAAGAAAATGATAATGTTAATTGTATGTCGTTGTTTAGTCTTTATATACTCGAAAATAAGAGTCTCGGGATTTATCGATTGTTTCTGCTTGATTGGCACATGTTTATCATAATAATATATTTTGGTCGTTATTTGCCCCTGATTAACATCAATGTCGATGATAAAAGTTTCATTCTTAGAGATGAGTATTACAAAAACCCTACATTATTATTGGCTGTTACGATTGGTTTATGCAATTAATGGGTTTATATCGATGAATGTAAAACAAACAAACAAATTTGCAGTGCATAGTTCTATATATATAAAACATTCGAGTATTTTAAAATATAAGCGAAGAAAAAAGCAGAATTAAAATTATCTAGGATTTTTCATCGCAACATTTTCTTTTTCATGACTACTACTCAAATATATTGCAATAGAATGACATGAAACTTTGATAAGATTATTGTGAATGATTCGGAAGAGATCATTCCTGAAATAAAAATAGCTTTTATTGTTATTTATCACGAAAATAAATTTTCAACCTTATGATACCAAATAGAATAAAAAGTAGAGCAAAAACAAAACAAAACAAAATAATTTCTTGTTTTAACATAAATCTACAACTATAATATAAGATTGTTTAGAGATGAATGAAAATTAATAGATGACTCATATCCTCTCTGCATGTTTCATTATTATTATTATATTTAGAAAATAATTGCTAAGAGTGACAGACATTTTCATATAAGAGATCATTGCTCAAGCACAATTTTGAATAGACATTTTTCAAATGACAGCTGAAAATCAATTGCTTCAATTGATATGATCAAGATTATAATGCTTTCCGAGTATATAATATGAAAAGAAAATCCAGCAACTTCAAAAGAAAAAAATCCGATAGGCTTTTGTATTACAATCTTTGATGAAAAAATAAGCGTCTTGTTTTTATCGATAGATCGTTGATTCATGTGACGTAGATTATTTTTATTCTTGTTAATTACAATTTAAACTGATTAAATAATAAGATAACTGATGATTTTAACTGTCAAGTAAGCTTGCACATTGTATTAATCAAAAGCATAGGGGGTCATAGATTGTCAGATAAGAAATGAGTAAGACAACATGTGATGACGTAGTACGTTGTTTTCTTATACGTATGGATTATTAATGATATCAAATGACATAAAGATATTGAGCAGTTTTTAATGTTAGCCTTCAATTGATATATTCTGAACATCATTCTTCTTAGTTTCATGAAGAAAAAAAAAAGTGTTGTTATTAGATGATTATTTTGAAAATTTTAAACAAAAATACTAAATTAAGTGATAAGTCAGTATCATATTTTTTTGCATCGATTAAAACTAGACATCAAAGTATTACATATGATAATATTCATATCCCAAGCAGACAGACATGTGAATTTTTCACGTTTTTTGAACTAAAATGTCGACTTTTAGTCGAAATTTGTGCGTGTTTTCGTCGAATTTTTCAACATTTTCATTTTTTTCCACTTTTTTTATGCGTTTTTCTGCTCAATTCCGTTAAATTAATGCATAAAAGTCGTTAAAACGTCATTTCTAACAAAAAACGCCCAATATACCTGAAAAATTCAAAATTTTGGGTGCAAATGAGACACAATTTTTCTTATCAATATTTTTTCTGAGCAACTTTTTTCACATGAATATGCAATCAATTCAAGGACGGCACAAGCTCAATATGCTAGAGAAGCCAATAAAATTTTAAACAAATCTATTTTATCTTCACATTTCCTCTAAAAAATCAACAGAACTGCAGAAAAACTTTTGTTATCTGAAATTAATATTTCTTCAAGGTATGATATGCAGAAGCTTGAACATTATATTAATTGACAATGCATTACTACATTTCAACAAGTCTAAAACATTTCATTGTAAAAGAAATTGCTCAAAAGCACTCAGTGAAAACTCAACTTCTTATTAAATTTATCTTCATTCACTGAATATTGCGTTCTAGCCTTGGTACTCATGTAAAGGGTACCTCAGATTCAAACGATTAGTCTTTTTGCTTAAAAATCATGTGCATAACCATGAGTTAGAAAGATGAATATGCTGTTCTTCAAATTGTTTAACGGATTAACATAAGTAGCTAATCGATGTTTTTGATTGATAAATAACAGGTGTCTCTTCCGTAAATTTTTTCATTGGAAAGCTAAACAATCTAAATTGTAAATTTTCTTAAAAGTAAACGAAAAACATAGAAGGAATGTCAAATGTTTTGCATATTCTTATTAACAAAAAATACCAAAGATCAGACATTATGTTTCACCCATTCAGTGCTAGTTAATTAAGTATTATTTAGTCAGCCTTAGACAGTTGGAAAACCATTTACAATTACACTATTGATCCTGATCCAGGAAAAACTTTTGACATTGTTGATTATAAAAGAAAAGAATGCAAAACAATCGAAATGCTAATTACAAGCTATCTAAATAATAATATATCAGATATGTATCAGTGGTGGAACTGGATCTTCTTTTTTTTAGAACCGAACCGAAAAAGTTTTAAACAGAGCTGAACCGATTAAAAATCAAGGAGAAAAAAAAAGTTTTGTAAACTATTATTTTTTTCTAAGAATATTCTCCTAAAATTCTTTATTGAAGAGATGCTTATAATGTCATTGATAGTTCTATAAACAAACTAGAAAATTGTAGTAGAAATGATCTTAAGGACATGAGAATTTTCGTTCTCGGGGTAAAAGAAATTTTGAATGATAGAAATCTAGTTTATTTTCAGTGGTTAGTCAATTTTTTCTGTTAATCAAGAGCCGTTCAAGTTATTTTTTTGTCGTCGTCGTTCAGTGCAGATATACATATAGGGGCTACATTTTATATAATACACTCATTTTAAAAGAAAATTAAGTAATATCTTATAATAATTTTTTACTACTTTATTAAATCCAGTTCTACTCTCAACTTAGAAGACTTATATAACAAAGAGAACCTAAAATTGAGAGAAATAATCTACCCATCATCGCAAAATGAACAATTTCAATGACTTTTTAGGCTTTACTTATCGATCTATTTCGAAATATCATTTAAGTGATATTTTCTTAATTAAAATGTTCATTATTATATATTTCCTGAACGTTAAAAATAATGTTTTCGTTATCCGCTTAGAGTTATTACAACATGACAATTAATTGATACTTATATACATATATGAGTGCTTCATACTGAAATGCAGTCTGTAAAAAGGTACACTGAATGAAACTAATAAGTAGTTGAGTAAAAATCAGAAATTAGCTACACTTTCTTTATTCACTCTTAGTGAATATGTTTGTTATAAATCCCTCTCTGTGTAATGAAACTTGATGTTTGTAAAATCTTCGGTTCACTTGAACCGAAATCCAGTTTTATTCGAATTATCATCTTTTCTTTTTTTTTTCTATTACTTATACATGTATTTTCATACATAAGAGAGTAAATGAAACACAAGGAGAGAGATAAATAACTGTCATCTACTCCAGCGTAGACTATGTTATATAAAGATGATAACGTCCAACGTTGTTCTTTTGTTAGAATGTCCTAACATTTAGGACAGAAGAAAAGTGTGATAATTCATTGAAATTATTACGGTCGGAGAGGAAAGACAAAGAGAGAGAGAGAAGAAAAGAAAAGAATAAGAAAAAAAGATGTAAGAGCACTCGAATAAAGTTAAATGTATTTAAATAAATATTTGGATAGAAATTCGTTCCGAATATTTGGAACCGAACCGAAAAATTTTTAAACCGGATCGATCATATCACTGATATTTATAATAGGAAATACAATCAATAGGATAAAAATTAACCAAATCATGATACGATGGATGAATTTTTATACACTAAGTACAGAGTCGTCCTGGATATGTATATGCTGGATCAATTAGTCGTACTCTAGTAAAACTTGGTCGCTTGGAAATTTTTGGAAGAAATAAGTTTTTATTTCTCTCTCCTCTAAATGTTTTTGGAGAGACCAATGTCTATTCATTGTAATATTTGTGTGCTGTCTATGAACTGACTTTAATTCTTTTAGTGAGAATGGATGAATATTATTCCAGTGTTAGAGGGAACTTTTAGAAAAAAGAAAGTCAATTTGTAATAGCATTAATGTTTTTTTTTTTTATTATTTATATGATCTCATGTCGAACATGAATAACAGAGAACGTATTCATCAAGATTAAAAACAAACATACATGAGACTGGATCAATCGTCATATAACCAGTACGTAGTCACACTAAATATATTTGTTGAATTGAGAAGTTTTACAACAGTGTACGAAAGAAAGTATGACCAATTTGAAGAAGCAATGAATGTTTATCACTTCCGGGAAAATTTCTGTAAGGAAAGCAATTGCTGTCTTGATAGGGTTGATGCACTGTTCATAGTAGTCATTAACTACACAGTGGGATACATGTACATTTGTAGAAGAAGACTTCCTCCATCAAGTGATGCGTGTATAGTAAAACTATTGCAGACTGTTAATATTTGAGTAGAGAGTACCAATTTCAATACATCCTTTTATAGACATTGCGAATGTAGTGCTGCCAACTGGCATATGAACATAACGCAATTGAGGTTGATAATATAGATATATATACATCAGATAATGGAGAAATTTTTCCTCTACAGTTCTACATATACCCTGTTCCAAAGTCAAAGTCTCATAGTCACCTTGAACTATATGAATTTATAGCTCTAATATGTGATCTGGTAATTGAGTTTAGGATAAATTTGAGAGTGATAAATACACAACGTTTAGATGAAGTCTACGCTAAAAGCTGGGCTCATCCATTTTTCACTTCAATAGAGCTTAGCACACTATCCGAGCACTAGTCATTCTTTAGATACGAAACGATATATTATAGAGGACCCTAGTATTGTAAATATTTTCGATAATTTGTCGCGATCAGAAATCTATTCAAATGTAAGTTTTCCTGTT